ACTTCGAAAAATGTGAAACTTTCCTCAACAATTGTGCTCTTTACTATTTTATCATGTTTACGATTTATTCTTACTGATGTGAATGACGATAACGAAATTATGTTTTACAGTTCATGTTACAATGATCACCTCATTTGCACATCTTGATGCGATTCATTATTCTGGTGTATTCTTAAAAAGGTTAAAGTAAGTGAAGCGTAGCAATGACTGTCGTTTTACAGACTTTAAAACACCTAGATAATGACCGATAGAGCTTGTCCTGAGAGGGCAGGTTCGTACCCGATGCTATAAAATGCTCTAATTCACGCACTTCATCCGGGAAGGATAATTTTTTCAATTTTTCTGGTTGAGATCAGGAAAATGAGCAAAGTTACAATATCTTAGATTTGTAGCCAGAGTATTCATGAAGTTATGGACGACTAAAAGTTGGTGCAGGATCTCTCAGGCTCGTTCTTTGTGTGAGGATTAAGTACACGGTGAGATTCCAAGAATAAATTATTGTTGCTGATCAAGAGCTCAGCAGTGCTACTTTTTCAGTAGATGATAGAGCCGCAGTCGTTTAATATCAAAGTGTTGTTTTAAAAGGCGATTTGATTTGTTTTGAATTGTGGATCTTTGCGAGTCACTGTTTTTGTAGACTAGAGTACGTTGGGTAGTATGGAACTGAAACCCCTAAAAGAAGATGAACAATGAAACGCAAAATTTTGAACAAAAAATTTCAACAATCATTGCACAAAAGAACTGTTCAATGAGTGAAAGAGCCACTCAATTCGAATGAACCGTGAAACAGTATGGAATAGTGTTCGTCGAGGAACGGGGTAGGATGCTCCCCGTCCTCCCCGTCGGGGAACACGGGGAGCGGTCATTCCCCGACGGAGTCCCCCGCGTGATTTGCTTCCTGACTTGCTCGCGGGGACCCCCTCCCCCCGTCCGAAAAACTGCTCCTCGACGAATACTAACTAGTATGGAACGTGAGTAAGATATATGTAATTGTAATGAAAATGGGATCAGACGAGTACTCAGTTCATTTATATAGTACCATTAATTGAACACACTTAAATTGAGCAGTTTTTGATTATGTAAAAATCGATTGTAATATTCTATTCAGTTCACATTAATGTCACGTTTTTTTTTTAAATTGTTTTGATGACCGCTGTATTCATATAATTTTTGATAAAACTGTTATTAGACCGATAAATTACTTTCAGCTGCTTCAAACTGGATATTGCAGATAATTTTGATTTTATCCAAAAGTTTCAAACTACTCTCTTTCAATCTTCTTTAATTGCTGAACACTTCTCGCATGATTTGCGACCAAAGAGGAGAAGAGAATTCAATTGAGCATACGAACGAAAACAAAATAACATTCTACTTGAATTATTCGTTCATTCTAATTATTGAAAATTTGTTTTAGGCTAATCCAAATCGAAATTGAAGAAATCTAAACTTTCGAAATCGCTAATTCTATTGAGATATTACACAAATGAAGAGAAAAGAATGATAAGTGCAATTGTAGAGTATGTAAAATTAAAAGAGCGAACAATGAATGCATCGAACTAATCTTTCGAGTACTTGTTGCTTGGTTTCAACGATAGAAATTTCGTATAATGAACAAAATCTCAAGAGATAAGATTCGGATGCGAAAAGCGCTTTTTTTGCATGGAGGAAACGATCGCCAATATTCAAACGAATGACACTTAAAGAAGTTATCCTTTAGACATTCCAACTTCCAGAATTAATAACCGTTTTATTATTCAATTATTTCTTTTCGGCGAATTCATCTGTTCACTTTTCGACTCTTACCCACATTTCATAACTACTCGTTAACATTTATTGATAACTTTAGATGCTCTTCAAGCGATCGATCGTTGTTTTGAAGAAGCATGCACAGATAATGGTAGTTTCAATGTTCTTTCACAATCAGATAAAAAGCAAAACAGCTCACATTATATGCCTTTTTAGTAACCACACTCTCGTTAACCAACACTTTACCACCCAGGACCATTTTTTCTATCATTCTGAAATTTCAAAGAATCAATAAATTAGACAAGATTGTGTATGCTCCATTCAGAAAAGAGAACGCAAATTTGCCTATTTTCATTAGGTCAAATTTACATCTATAGGAAAGATTCCATTTTTTGGAAGATTCGATCTACGCAAGGAACGATTCTGTAGAAATTGCATCGTGTTCACTGCACTAAACGTGAATAATCATAACGCTTATAGATTGAATTAGTCAAGTTAGAAAACAATACCACAATCCCAATGAAACGAATAAAATTTCTCAATGAACACAAAAAAACTAACGCACTGCTCCTTCCAGTGGCTCGATTGATGACTGTATCAAGTCTTCTACTTCCCAATTTAAGTTTTTTTAACTTGTAATCTTTGGGAAGGCCATCATCGCGAATTTCATCAATTTCATCTGAATAAGACGATAATGGACCTGTAGCCGTATCACCCGCTTTCTGTTTCTTCTTGCTATAAAAACGTTTCATTTGCAGTGAACGTGAATAATTATTTGTATTTGCGTGTGAATAGGTTGGTGTTGTTGTTGGTATTACATTCGTTGATAACAACGATAAGCATCGTTTTTCATTGAAAATTAGCAGTCGCCTCGTTAACGATAAAAGCAACTTCATAGCCTGAAGAATGAAATTATTTAAAAGTCATTAAATTTCCAAACGATACTGAACCTTTTGTGAATGCATCTATTCGAATTTCTTTTTCTTTTCAACTTTGTAATCGGTAATTGTAAAACGAAATTTAAAACGTTTTATACATGTGAACATCTATACTGAGATCGAGTATTAAGACGATGATTTTTTGAATATTACAGAATAGGTGATAAATAAACTGGATTCTTCAATCAGCTCATTATCGAATCAATGTGCTTTCTGGGAGTGCATTAAGTAGATTACGCAACACTTGAATCGAATCTCATAAAACATGTACATACATAATAACCATAATGTACGACTATTCAGTTTGTTCATTGGCCTGCCTTATGAAATACGTCTGTTTGGTGATAACTTGTCTTTGTATTATTTCAAACATACTCGAATATGCAATGAAAAAAGTAGCTGAAAGAACAGTCCAGCCCGACAAATGAAGTAAAGCGAATAAAATGTAGGTGAAGTGAAGCGAATAAACAAGCTTCCGCTTGATAAATCGCACGTCAAACGATGATGCGTTGATGCGACTCTAGGCTCGTATACGGTATTCCTCGACAGATGTACGTAAATCATTAGGAGTCAATTAAACGATAGAGTCGTTCTGAGTATTCTGATCGAGATGTTTCGACAAATTATTACAAAACAGGTTTTCATTCATTCTTGATGGCTTAATTAAGAAAATAATGAATGAGAATAGTGTCAACCATACTCATTTTCTCTTTTGTACTTCATATCTTCTAATGTGAAGAGATAGCCGTAATAAATTAACCGCTAAAAAATTCAGTCACGGAATAACAATTCTAAGAAACTGATTCTCATGAAAAAAGACAGGTGATATGGCTTTAGAAATGATTTGACACTGAAATTTAATACTCAGTTCACTACTATATTCATATAGCGCTGAGGACAACACATATTTTCAGATATTCATAATGATGATACATGTATCATTTTGACAATAATATGTTCGATATATAAAATACACAAATTGACCCAAAAAAATCCTTGGTGTTTATTCACCGACTCACTCAACAATAACAAAGAAAAGCGAATAGTATAAATAAAAAATGATAATGATTCAACTCTCCCGAACTGTGTTTGAAAAATCAATGAACAAATAATTGGATTAATGGATCAGTTAACCTATATATAATACAAAAATAATTCTTCCTATCAATAACAAATGTATCTGTCAGCAGAACAGTAAATTTGATGTTTGCTGTTGCAAACTGGAACTGATCGTAAAAATTTATTGTATGAAAGTAATTGAACAATCTCAAAACAGTTACAACAATGAGTGCTTAGGATCATTACAAATCACATAGATGAAATACACATATCAAGGCACATAACACAATAATTTATCCTCATTCAAATATTTCTTCATCCATAGTTCCACATTCACCTTTTCTCCAGCCTTCAATGCCGATACTGTTTTCTCAGATACTCCTTGTGGAATTCGTATCCGTACTTTGCCACTTTTACCAAAACTTGCCTCAATAAGGCCGATGTCTCCAGTGGATAGAACCACTTTCATATCAATGAAAACACTAATATCCGAGTTTTTGCTGAATAACAATGCACAAATCAAAGTCATATTATCACCTTCAAGTCGCTCAACCAACCCCGAACGGTGCTTACGATGAAATCTACGTAAAGCATTAATATTCGTCGTAAAACGATCGAAAGTACCATAAAATGCAAATCGGCATCCTTTCTGTTGCATATCCAATTTTGTGGCCAAGTAGAAACTGCCTCTTATGGCCCAAATCGAACGATCCAGCACCAATAATACCATCGTGACACGTTCATCCAGATCCGCCATTTGTTCGAATTCCTCATCATGTTTAACCAAGAAATGACATGTTGCCATAACCGTTTCAAAACCAACCGACAAATGTACTTTAGCGCGATCCAGCAATTTCGCTTTGAAATGTGAAATTTTGGTGATGTTCGCCAATACACACTGCACACTTTCAAGAGCACCCGGTTGAAAAATGACTGTGCGATCGAGATGTTTCGCATTCAAATCTTGGAACAGCAGCCCGACTCGTTCACCCATTGAAGCACGCTGTACGTCCTCCTTCCAACGCTGAATTCCCTTGATCCTTCGTTTCACTTTCAACGCTGCAATCTCGATCTCCATTCCAATACTGCAACTTTGTTTTTGCGGTTGTAACAATCCGAATCTGAGTTTTGCAACCTTGTTCAAAATTAGCACCTGATGGAAGTATAGAGGAAACTCATTTGAGGCACATCCTTAAAGAACAGGAAAATAACGTAAACAAAATTATCACTATCACTTTTACGATGATAATAATAAAAATAACAATGAAATTACTACTGTCATTGCGGTACTTATGGAATATTTGAAAAAAAAGGAAATTGATTCGTTTGTTGATCTATGATCAACATGCACATGAAATGTGAGTTCGAATTGGAATAAAATGTCACCTAATTGGTGTCATTCGATCGAAAACTGATACACATGAACATACTTCAATTGAACACATTCATATATTTAGTTAGACAGACTGACAAACAAACTTAACGCTTCTTATTACATCACAAATGAATAATCACAAACTCAGAATTCCGGCAAAAATTCATCTGAAAAGATTACCGAATCAAAGCTGAATATGGTGTGAATTCAGTGATGAAAGCACTATAACATGATGGTGAAAAGAGAGGATGACGAAATGGATAAATGAAAATGAAAATAAACCTGCACGATCCATCAATTATGGTACCAGTCATAACAGTGCCTTTGCCTCTGACTGGAAAGCAATGATCGACACTCATCACAAACTGATTCGATGTAGAGTAACGTTTTGGCCTATACAATTGCCTACGAAGAGCATCAATAATTGTCTCGCTTGATTTCACCACATCGTCTTCCAATAGTGATATACATACGATCGGCGAATTCTCAGAAATTGAGAAATATTTCAAAATTTTAATGAGTTGCTTCCGTAAACTATTCAGTTGTTGAGCTGTAATAAGATCAATCTGAAAAAAAAAGCGAACAATTGATAAAATAACAATTGTAGGCAATGAATAAGAAAGTTCGGGGAAAGGGCCAACTCATAAAATTAACAGTAAAACTGCTCATAATGACAATGGTGATAAATGAAGCAATAACTTTATTGATAACGACGATAGCATGCTGAGGACACAGAATAGAAACCAATAAGAGATGCTCAGCGGTTTGGGCTTGTACACCTTTCTGGGCATCCACAACTATAATGGCCATATCAAATACGCTTGAAGCACATAAAACAGCACTTAAACGAGTATTTGGTTTATTAGTGCAACAACAATCACTGCTCAATGGACGAGAATTGTTATCAAAGAATATTTAGATCATTCGAAATTTTTTTCAAATGTTCTATTTTCAGCGATTTCAATTCGCAGACATTAATCATTCATTTTAGTTAGACAATAAGAACAAAGCCAAAACCAAAAATAAGATACCTGATTAATGATGCATGACCCGGACAATCGATCAATGCAATTGTATAATTATCAATACGTAATGACGAAAATCCTAGATCAATCGTATTTGCTCTCAAATTCTGTGCTTTAGCATGCTTATCAAACGATGCAGTTGATGCAATATTCGAGATGCTACGTGCTAATGTTGTTTTACCACAATCGACATGCCCCAATATACCGACATTTATACTCACACTTTCACCGTCCAAATCCTCACCATTCTTTTCGAATTCTGAATTCGTTTTTTTTTTCTCTCATTCTAATTGGACGAGCACAGTCAATATAAATATTCGATTATTTTTTAAGTCATTCATACCAAAATGCATTCAGTGAAACTTCACAACACATTTATTGAATGCAATAACATGGCGCTGCAAAACGACAATCATAAAATGTTATAGCACTAATGAAAAGCGAATGATTACATCATTCAGGTATGATAATTATCAACATAATACCTTTCTGATCAGATGTGTGAGTTGATAGCAAATGCTCATCTTCTGAAGTAATTTTCTCCTTGTCATTAATCACTTCCATTTTCATTTGCAGATGTGCTCATTCGATTTGCGTAAACGATCCAACCTCCCTTCCTTCTTCTTTAAAACAATATATGTAATCACTCCAAAGCTTCTCATTGACGGAGGGGGGCAGGGGGGGGGGTGGAGGGAAGGAGAGAGAGGAATTCCCTGGGAAAAGAACTGAGGATATCATAAAGGAATTGTGGATGTTAGCAAAGAAATATTGATCTTCCGTAATTGATAAAGTGTTACCAAAAGAAATTTTTTATCACACAGAATTGACTTCGTTAAAATCAATGAAGAATTCTTGACAGCAAACTTCAACAGTGAGTCAACTTTTCGATTCCGTTCTGATATTTCTGACAGAAATGGCAATCAAAGAGAGGAGAACGTCCATCCAATGAACGTACGGAGCATGATAATCACCGATTAGAAGCAAGTAAAGAAGTGAGGCACGAATAAAATGGCACTTTGATTCGACACCATAAGAACAATTATACTGTATTATCAAAACCATGTGCATTCACTGATTTTTAATTCTTCTTGGTTCTTTTAATTCCTTTTAAAATTTTTGATTACCCCAATTCAGCATTAAAGCGCACTTCCTGTTTATTTACACAACGGCATAAACCTATGCGCACTGTTAAGAAACTGACGAGATGAAATGATGCATTTCTGAGAAGGAAATACTCATCATTCTAGAGCAAAAGAACAAACAATTAAGAAAAAAGTTTTTATCACAAATCACATAAATTGGCACGGCACTTAAATAGCATCTCCACGGCAACGGCAGCATTCTTTAATAATGTGCACTTTACACACAATACGATCCCTCATGAAAGCAATCAAAAATCATGTCACAACAAAACGACGAAGACACAATCAAATGATACCAAATACCAAAAACGCAGTCAACAAATACTAAAATACCACAATAAGAAAAGAAACACCAAATGATACCAGAAATTGTTCGAAAAAATTCAGAGCTTTCGTTACAAAGTAATCAATACAAAGTAATCAAGAAATCAACTGACTAATTTATAAAACAGTTTTAAGATCCAATAAATACCAGAAGACAACAAAATAACAGTAAGAAAATGCGCTGCGGCAATCAAACTTAACTATCACAGATAAACCGATACATTCTCTTAAAATACTTCAACAATCATTTACACCTAAATTCACCCATCTCTTTCAGTAAACTTCCATGACTGGATCAAAACAAGAATCCTCAGATGAAATGCCAAAATTTTAATGCAGTAATGATTCTTCCAAACCAGGATTTCTCAACCACGTATGCTCGTATTCATTGGGTGTGTCAGATAATTTTCCCGGGAGCGCGAGATAACGTTTTATATATTAAATTAGGCGAGGGCTGCATACATGTGTTTGAAGGTGCATTTTGAAGTACACATTTTTGAAAAGGTTCCGATGAGAATTTATTATGAGTTTAGGCCACTATTACGTTTTTGCAATATTTTTTCTTTTCCAAATGACTATTTTTATATATTATTTAAAATTAATGATAAAAAATTATTTTGGTCACGTTTACTTTTATTCTTAACTAAGCTGTTGTTGTGAGGGGTGCGAGGATAATCTAAAATATTTCAGGCGGTGCGGGCGAAAAAATGGTGAAAATCACCACTTTCAATCGATCAAACACCACTGAATTCTACATTGAAGCCAACCTGATTCACTGCCATTTACTTTGCTTTGTTAATTTTATGATGCATTATAGAGAAATATTGTGAAGTATGCTACTTGTGACAACAAAACAGAAAATTTGAAATGAATCCTACTCACGAGCAGATGGATATTGCAGCTAGCACTTATCACTCATGCTCCTGAACAATAAGTGTACATAAAAATATTATGACTCAACAAGGAAACCGTTTGGATTTTTGGTTTGCCAGTTCCATAGATCAGCACACATCTCGTTCAGGCCATATTCGCATTTCCATCCAAGTTTTTCAGCGGCTAATGACGGATCACAATATACGCAAGCCACATCACCAGGCCTTGGCACACCTACTTTTGTTGGTATCTGAATTAATGCAATTGATTGTAAACTAATTCCTCTGTTCGAATGAAGAAAATAAGTGTGTGAGGCACAAAAGTGTTGCGAAACAGAGCTCAAAAAAAGTTCTGAATCTGAAATAAACTTCGATAAAGGCTGCAACAAATAATAACAAACATTTAGTGATTCGGGGTGAAGAGAGAGTAAAATAAGTGGACTAAACAAAATTTCACCTTTTTTCCGGATGCTTTTTCCAGAGCGTGCACCATTTCATAAACCGAGTAGCCTTTGCCTGTACCCAAGTTATACACTTCACAACCCAAGTGAGCTATTCTTTTGATGCGATCAAAAGCAGCAACATGACCACGTGCCAAATCTACGACATGGATGTAGTCTCGCACACCAGTTCCTGAATCATCCATTGGGAATGTCGAGTTAAATGCAAATAATAACACTACTGAAAGTGATAATCCCATTGCCGTAAAAATCGGCACATCAAAAGACGTTTTCAACGAACGAATAACATCAGGCAGGATAAGTTAAGGCAATTAAGAACTTGAATTAACTGAAGAACAATAATGCATAGCTGACCATCAGGAGTGGGAAACTTGTCACCGTAAACAGTCAGATATGGTAGTCTGCCAATAGCTACTTGACTGACGAATGGCATCAGATTGTTCGGAATACCTTTTGGATCTTCACCAATCAAACCACTCGAATGCGCACCAACCGGGTTGAAATATCGCAACAAAATGATATTCCAATCCTGCAAATTTGGCGACTAAAAATTTATAACACCATGTGTTCACATTTTCTATGAAAAATTATTGAATACTTTGGATGGATACCCCATGAATACGTAAAAATAAATGATAAAAACCTTTTCAGCTTTCGAAAGATCGATAAGTATTTGCTCAATCATGTATTTGGTTTGTCCGTATGGGTTCGTTATACCACATCCAACATTGTCCTTCTCTGTGATTGGTAAGTGTTGCGGTGGTCCATATACTGTGGCACTACTTGAGAATACAAAATTTTTCACGCCATACTTACGGCACAGCTTAAAATTCATATGTTAGTGGATAAGAACAGATCTTATATCATCAACTGAATGGACAATAAAAGTTTGTAATCAGACAAAAGAATCCAATCAAAATCTAGGAACACCATCTACGGCTTATTATAATCAAGTGTTGACTATACGCTATTAATCTTTCATGACATAATTGCTTGTACCACCTGAAAATTAATCTGCGATATCATTACTCGCCTCGAGAACAACAAGAGTGGCCAATAAATTGTTGCGATAATACTCCAGTGGCTTTTCAACTGATTCACCAACAGCTTTCAAACCCGCTAGATGCACAACACCATCAATTTTGAACTGAAACTTTGCATAGATTCATTAAAACTGAAACTTTTAACAAAAATCACACTGAATCCAATCAATACACCTCGAAGTGACAACACAAAAAAATAAATACTTGATGAATGATAAATATTTGATAATTTTCATTCTTTTGATATGTTAAGATAAACACCGAATAAGTATTTAAAATATTCCCAAAAAATACTGAATAAGTTTCATGTGTTAAAAACAAAACACTGAATACGGAAAACAATGAAATAACCTTTTGGAAAACGGCTTCCGTTTGTTGTTGATTGCAACAATCAGCGAACATGAACGGTACGTCTTTGCCAACGATTTGTGAGACTCTTTTGAGACTGATCGCATTTCCATCTTTATCTGTAAATTATAAAATGAACTGCTTTGAAGATTGACCAGTCAAAGTCTAAAGATGATACACTTATTGAGACGCTGTTCTGAATAATAAAGCAATGATGAACCTTGAACTGAGTTCGAAAAGTTGTCTACACAGACAATCTCATAACCAGACTTGAGTAGTTCTAAAGCTACATGGCTTCCAATAAATCCTGCGGCGCCAGTGAGTAGGATTCTCATACCTGTAAAAAGATTAACCAATTCGCATACGTTCCTCTTGAAGACTAGAATTTTGGCTGCAACTGACGTTGGCTTGTATGCTACGTGCGAACCTGGATACGAAGTAACATTCATTCAAAAACAATCGCCATTATAATTTTCGTACCCCTTAAGGTGCACAGAATTAGAATGAGTTGCAAACTAGTGACTGTTTCGGAAACAGACTAATACGACATGTCAAGCAACTGCAACGGAAACAAACCAAATTTATACACATTGCAATGAATATCATCACCAATGGAGTGCCTTTTTAAAATTTTTGTAAACAGTTTCACAAAAATAAATCAGAAAAATGGTGATAATCAGAAGATGCTATCGCGATGGATTACACTTGGGCTTAGGCTTGAGGTTCATACCTTAGATGAAGTATCTATTAAGCAAACAGATGGTTCCTTGTTATGAGCTTCAGTCTAAGACTAAGCTTACATATAATCCATCACAATAATTTCCCCGATTATCGTCATTTGACTCGGAAGAGAATGAATGTTTTCAAAAGGTTTTGGTATTCTTTTCAATTGTGATGAAGGTTATGATTAAATGAAACCTTGTTGAATAAGCTAATCCAAGAGCTTTCAAAAGGATCTAAAACTACTAAAATTCATGCTTAGTTTGTGTAGTTTCCATAGTTTCTCTCAGAAGCTATTTATTAATTTATCTGCTTATTGTTAATCAGTAATTACAACTCATTACGACTTTATGCCTTCCTTATATCACATTCTTCATTCCTTGACATCCTTCTTTCAGCACAGTTTGGTTACTGATTTGGCGAACATACAGGTTTAGGGCTATTCTCCCATAGTGCCCAATAATTTCTAAGGAGAGGGACTCAAAATGAACCCCAAAATTTTCAGCGAATGAACATGCGTGCAATGATCGCTCAGCCATGCGTACAAACGACAGTAATGAACCGGCAATTTTTCGGAATTAATAATAAACAACGATTTTAATTAATGCAACCGAACAGATCCATACTGAACATTCCACAAGCAAGTATTAATGAATGCGCGTTCCCACAAATACTTTGCATAATCAAAAACAGCCGAGTAGCAATCCAGTAAGTAATCGCAACAATGATAAACGCTTTCCTTGGAATCCAGGGAGGTTCTCTTTCTACGCTATCCACCGCCAAGTCGGTCCTCTATCTCTACATTTCGCGGTTTTTCCGCTAACTTCTTTTTCTTAAAACGGGATTGGTAAACGTGCTTTTTTGCCAAAGGGCAAATCTATCCATGTTGGAAATGCACACTAAATCAACTGCAATCTTACACGGTTGCATTTACGAAAAAGACACCATCCTGAGCATACTAGATGTTGAAATAATCCATATAGCCTAGCAGTTTTCATTTTTCTTTGCTACAGTAGATTTAAGGAAGGGATAAGTTGTGTGAGAAAGCAGTCGACAGTTCCGATGGTAACGATAATTAGAGAATTCACTCAAATAAAAAAGGAGACAATATGTATTGACAGAACAATTGGCAGGATACGGAACCCAACTACCTGAGCAGCTAACTTGATCGGTCCGATCAGCTCGAAGAAATCTCATGAGTTTATTCTCAGGCCTACGCCTAATCTTAGGTTGACAGGGACGATTCGCTGAGTCTATAACTTAGCCGTCTGAATTAAAGAAAGGGTTTCCAACTAACTGTGGTTACTCGGTTTCCTGGGTACTGCTGCCCTCTTGTCCCTGATCATGAGGGCGGCTCCTCCCGCCTGGTTCCCTGCACATCTTCCTAAACCTATGCCGTGCACTTGCAATTTTGGCAGGTAGCACACCGTCCTGTTCAAAGAAATGATCCACGACTACCCGTAGCACACACCCACCTCCAACCAACCCATATACGATTGTTGACGCACTGATGCCCCACAATTGCCTTCTGATAAAACGTGGTAATCACACGAAACGTGGCCTTTGGTTGTGAGGGGGAAACGTGGCTTTTGGTTGTGAGGGGGTAGACAAGCAGAAACGAGTCGTAATTGCGTGGCAAATCGCCTAACCTGATTATTGATGTGATTAATAAAACGTGTTCTCATTGTCAAAAATCCGGATTGACCAACTTCGAATGAGCGGAAATGAGGGGTGATTGCTGGTAAGCCGTTCAGTGTTAATTTTTCATCCATCTTTATCCCTGTGTTCAGAGGATTGCATAAAGAAGAATGTAAAGAATTTGGCTCCTTAAGTTATATATTCCTTATAAAAGATTCATTAGGGTGTTTGGATTCCCTCTAAACTGAATGCTTTAGTTCTCACAGTGCTTTTAAACACCTTCAGCAAATCGATCCTATATTCAAGAAAACGAGTTTTTCACCAATTTCTCAGTAGTTGAAGTACTATTGACTGAATACGTCACTATATTTCATTCGAAATTTCTTGATATTTCAGTGAAGAAAGGTACTGAAGAAAGCTGACTTCGACGAGCTTATCAAAGTCCATTACTGATCGTTGTAATACAGTTTCTTCACCAATAATGTCAGGTAAATATGTGACGATTGCTGAGGATTCGTATTCATTGAAAAGCTGACTGTCATATCTATTTACTCGTTTCGTATGAATGAAATGTTTAAGATTTTTACGATGTAATGAAACAATTTGCAGAATCGACAACAAGACTGAAACATTCACGATTTCGACATGTGTTTGCAAAAAGCGTTCGCCGAAGTGAATGGTATGATGCAGGACCAGGGCATGCAGTGGCAGTTACGGTTAACCCCAAAATGATTGCGCTTTCAATAGACGTTTCAGCCGGTGGACTTGTACAAGTGGCTAAACTGTGCACTATGGGTCGCGGCCATATTGAAATGGCTAAAATCAAAGATCACCAGGTATCCTTATATTTTGCTACATACTGATAATTTTTTATTTGCTAAATGTTGTCTCATGTGAATAAAATCCAACAATAAGTATGAATTTCTAGGGCATTGTATGTGATGTGAAATGGAATCCATTCAACGACAACGTACTCGCAACGGCTTCTCATGATGCTACAGTGCGTGTATGGCATATCGACGACATGCTAAGAATACGGTTCGTTATCTTAAAGCTACAACCTAAAGTTTTTGATTTTGATCTTTTATTCTTTTTGTTAAGTCGTATTTTGCGAATAGGCAGAACGCTTTTTCTGACGTTTATTTTACTCATCGTCAGTATAGTCAGGCACTGAACTTTTTCTATGTAAATAACAGGTGTTTACGGATTTCTCGAATGCACACTCGTCGAATAATGTTCATCGAATGGCATACCACTGTTGATAACGCGGTCTTCTCGGCTTCGTTAGATGGTCGTATCATTCTGTGGAATATTGAAACCGATGAAATGGTTTATTCAGTTGATGACTGTCGAGCTACTTCTCTTTCACTAAGGTAATATTTTCTCGAGTTGCTTTAAGTTTTGTAATGTTGAATCTGTTATCAGTACTCATATTTTTAATAGTCGATCATGATTGTACGTTTTAGTTTAATTGGCCTGTGAATTCACAGCTTAAACTTTACGGAGATCTTTAGTTAAGACAAAAGTTATTGTTTTGAGACAGTGCTTTCGATGTTTTAAATTTATTAATCTAATGGAGCACGTTCTAGTTATAATTGCGCAGAATTCGCTGTGACCACTCGTAATCGTGAATTGATAATCTTCAATGCACGAACTGGTTTGAAAGAACGACAGACTGAATTGGTTCATGATGGTAGTATGCCATCACGAGTACTGTATAATTATTCGAATGAAGAGGTTTACGAGCATTTGATAACGACTGGTACTTGTTTTAATACGAGACGTCAGATTGCTGTGTATGATTCGATTGATTTGAAAGCACCGTTGGCTGTCATGGATGTTGATAGCGGATCGGGTTTACTGATGCCTATTATCGATAACGATTTGAATCTTCTTTATGTTGCTGGAAAGGTGAATGAATGTATTTGTTTGCTCGTTTATATTTCATGTCCATTTTAGATATGATTATAGCTGTGTACCACTTAAAAATAGATGTTATCATTGCTTTTTCTTTTTTCCAAACACATCTGTTTGGGCTTCTAAAATTTTTAATCAGCAAAATTCGGTTTTAGGTAATGGAGCTGTGAGAACTTCACCTCTTTCCTTTTCGAATTTGTTGAATATTTACGGAGGAGATATGCGTGCTGATTTTGATAATATGAGAGATTATTACCTGAAATGCAATGTTAAATTTCGAGATTAGCTATCTGACGGCACAAGAAACGAATCGTTTTCAGGGTGATGCAAATATTCGATTCTATGAACTAAGCAACGAAGCACCATTCATCACGTATTTGAACGAATCATTCGGTAACAAAGCGCATACAGCTGTGTGTGCTTTACCGAAGCGAGGTCTTAATGTATCACAGTGCGAAATAATGCGTATTTTTCGAGTTGATGCTACGCAATTGGTCATTGAACCACTTTCTTTCATTGTACCGAGAAAGGTGATTGCATTGCTCACATCCTTCATGCATTCGTATTTGTCATTTTACTAAGCGAGCAATAATCTAGAAGTTTATTTATAAATCACTCCAGATCAGCCAGTCATTTTATCCCTTATTAATAATGAATTTTCTCTCTAAAGGCAGACTGTTTCCAAGCTGACCTCTTTCCGGCCACTCGCTCGCCAACACCATCGTTGTATTTCCGAGAGTGGTTGGCCGGTCTTGACCGGAAACCGATCCTCATTGAGCTGAAGGATTGTGTGTTGAACTGTACGAACAAACCGGTTACGTTCTGTAAAGAGTCTGCAAAGCGTACACCCAAACTCGTCACTGCTGATCTTAATAACGACCGGAAATTCCGCTTTTTATCGCAGGTGATTAATCATTTTCTCGGTAATTCATGACCTTTTGCTGTTGCAATGACTTATGTTTGGAATAATCAACGGAAATGTATTTAAAAGATGATGCAATTTTATGGTTATGATCGTTGACGAAAACCGTGGAATTGCATCATCAGTGTTGCATATACCAACGAATGAATAACGGTACGATTTAAAGGTAACGAAACCAGATTATCGTGAGGTCAATGAGCGCGAGGACAGAGATGAGTTGCTAAAAGTTGAACAAATCAAAGCGAGAATTGCCGCAGAGGAAACGACAGATGCGGTTGACGAACATCAACGAAGGTAATAGGAATGAAATATATATCAACATACTTGTTACACTTTCATTCTTAATTTTACAGAATAAATTTATTATTATTTTTATTGTTCCTTTATTCAGATTACTTCATTCATAATTGTTACCATCTGAATTGTTTAATGAATTTCAGTGATAAAAATAAAGCATTCATAAGCCATAGTAACGATGATGTAGATATGAACGAAGAGTGTTCGTTAAAAGCGGGATATGAAGTGTCGCTAATGAACCATAAAAATAACTTCATGCAGTATTCGATTGAAAATGACATCTCGAAGCCTGTTTCCGGTGAATTAATTGTTGACACTTCCACACTATCACCCAGTTGTTAGTTTTAACCATTTAATATTTTCTAATTTAATTTTTTTGCTGGAGTGTAACGATGTCGACAGGTTTTAGGAATGATGTTTTACACATTGTTATTATATCAGTCGGGAACATCAGAATTAGCCAAACGGGTTTATTCCATTCTATACAAAAACTTCGAAATTTTTCAAAGAACTACTGAGAATTACAGAAGGGTATAACGAATCGTTTGCTGCATTCGATTTTTTTTGTGAATGTTCTACAATGTCATGTGAATTTGGCCGCTCGTTTGGTTTCTCAAATGAAATGCAATAAGTTCATCACATCTTGTGGCGTATCTTAATTTGGGCCAATGTTTATTCGTTGGATTGCAGCAATAAAGAACAAACGACCAGCTTCAGTGAACAGTTATATCGATAAAGCAAGGTCGTCACCAACTAGTGAAATAAAAACAGCTCATCCTCATGACTTGTCCTCTGTATCGCATTCTACCGAAAGTGGTATCGCGTTTCGTGCACGTTCAACACCCAACTCAACCAGATTGTTGCACAAAAAGAATGACACCTCTAATGACAATGGAATACCTGAACACTCCGATGAGAATGCAACGTAACTTGATTTTATTTTAGCATTTTCTATCTATGTCTTTAGATTGTTCATTTAGTGTATTGATTGTTTTAGCACTCGCAGTTGTGCATCGTTTGATTTGGTTCGTGAACTCGAAAAAGAACTTTATAAGTATCAACATCGCTGTGAACAGCTCGAAAACATCATCTGCATACAGCAGGTATGTTTGCTCGTTTTTTGTGAATGTTACTTTGCAAATTCGCGTAAAACTGATCCAAGTATTGCATGCATTTTGTATAAACATCGAAAACTTTCAGCAAGATATCGACAGCCTGCGATACGAAATTCGATGGAAAGATGGTCGTATTGAGTTTTTACAATCTCAGCTCGCCGAACTCGATGCAACACATTCCAGTTCATCACATTCGCCATAAATCGTTACCCATACTGCAGACAGCATTCGTTTTATCCAGAAATAATAATTAGATCTTCATGATTATACCCATCACATGCATCTCATCTCTATTATTCCATTCATCGCTTAATTTACAATTCTTCGTGCTAATTTTCACATTAATAGTGTTTAAACTGATAATAAATTATCACCAGTTTCTGTATTCAGAAAGTTTGTACTCATTCATATTAGTTGAATATTTGTCACTGCGTTTCCATAAATCAGCATTCATCTCTCTGGGGATCACTTCACATGATTTCTCGCAAGCGAACTAAGTATGCAATTATCTTCTGATTTCTTGCACCATCAACGTATACTAATTAAAGTTTCCATTACTTGACGAAGTTTTCAAACGATGTTTTATATTTATCTCCGATTTGGTTGTTGTGTCTGTGCTACGCTCTTTTTCCATGCAGAGTTGATTTTCTTATGCTACTTTGATTAATTTGCCAAAATTTGTTTTTATTGCGGTGTTTATTTGAGTATTTCTATTTATCTGTGTGCTTTTCAAATTTTAGTTCTAAAATTACAATCATCAGTATATAGAATTGCGACATGTCATTCTGTGTCCAACTTGTCCTCTCACTCCACGTTTTGAATTTTGGTTCTTCTAAGCCGTCTTGGTTACTGAAGCGTATTGAAGTGGGTGCTTTTATCGGTTATATTTGCATCTTAGTTATTGCATATATTATATGAGGCCACATTTTGTGTTTTATTTGCAGCTGTTCAATTCGTATACTGCTTACTCTTCTGACATTAATTGAGCTGATATTGTTTTGATTTTACTTATGGTTTTCTAATGCATAATAATTCTAACGTCCAAGTTGAATTGATAGTATTGTGTATATCGCATTCCACTCTTTCATATATGCCTACTTGAAGAACAATGGATGTTCAGATATCATTCCGCAGTGAATTTTGTTGATGACAAAGCGCAATTTGTCGGTGATCATTCTTTCACTATCAGCAGATTCGATCGATCATTTCAATTGTTTTCTGCCCGTTGTTTTCAGTCACTGTGTGAATCGAGTCTTCTAAACGCAGTGCGTGATAGTATTAGTCGTTACTTTTGTTCTTGAATGTTTTTTTTAGTCGGTGGAGGTGATTGCAATTCGATTGTCATTTTATTGGATATTCTCCGAGTTTATTGCGTCGGTTCGCATATTCCGAGTCGTCTTTCGCAATTGCTTTATACAGCTTCAAATGCAGGAATTCATGATTCAGTTTTTTTAGGGCATAAACGAAAGTTGAGAAATCGTCAGGAGCTTTGGATGAAGATCAGTTTTGAATGAATTTGTTGAAAAGAATGTCATTTCCTAAGATAATTTGCCTGTCTACAGTGCTATAATATAACGAACATTCCTAGAAGATCGCATGTTATTAGATAGTATGTGGATACTAAACGTGGGCATTAATAGGGCATAAATGACGTTAATTTAGAGTGCTTATCTTTGTTACTGCTTTGCATTTTTGCTGTAGTTAGTGCTGCTTCTGTGAGTAGAAACGATACTATATGTATCTTAATGATATGCTTTTTATTTTGTTTCATTCTGAATGATCTGCTCCATATTGTGCCATTTACAGTGATTCTCATTCACGCCATCCACTGCGTATGGTGCTAATCCGTCTTTTTCAACCTTATCAAATCAATAACCGTGACCGTACGATCTTATTTCTTAAAACAGAGCATTCCGAAATGATAGAAAAAGCAAGTCAACGTGTCATCCCATAATTCGAATCTTTGTAAGATTTTTCAGTTTCTTGAGCATTAACATTTTTACTTTTCCAAAAATAATCTTTATTCCAAGAAGTTGCAAAAAAGTAGTGCTATAAAATATTGCTGTTACACGAAGAAACTTAGTCCACTTTATTGTTCCACTCTGTTTTCTTCATCATTTTATGACGGACATCTTTTGAAGATGAGACTTCATACAGCATCTGATTTGCTAATAAGAACTTCATTAACAAAGTGAAATGGGCTGAGCGGAGTTAAATCTTGCTTGAGTGATTACTTCAGTAGTTAATTAATCCCAATGAATAGGTTTTCATCAAATAAGCGTAGTGTTGTCGTGCATTTTCGATCTATTTTTGACAGATCTCAATGTTGCTGGAGCCTTCATGAAATGATTTACTCGTTCACGTTTCTTTTCTCCTCTCTTTTGTTTGTCTTCTTGTTCGACATGCTGTATGTGCTTTGGGCAGTTGAACGAATCATGAACTGTTCGGCGAATTCAAATTATTGTTCAAATACATGTATTTGATTAGACTCTTATGCGATCAGTTATTTTTGTTATCAACTTCTTGTTTGTTCTCTTCCATCATTCGTCTTTTTCATTTTCGGTCTTAATTGATTCCATTTTCAGCATTCCTTTCGTTCATCCGAATTATTTCAAGACTTTTGTATCAGTGAATTGACAACACAATTTTATCTTACATCCGTACTTTCTGGGCGCTTTGCTGATCAGGAGAACAACAATTCTAGCACTTGATATCGGTTGTGAGAATTATTATTCATCTATGAATAATTGTGTCGTCAATCAGTGCCCAATTAACCGTCGCAATCTCATTGTTTCGTGTATTGGAATAGACTTAACCTATTCCGACTAACATTTTTTTCATTTGAAGTATTGTAATTTGCTAATAGCCCAGTGTAAACGTACCCTTACGAGTGAGTTGCTCTGAATTCGTTGGATGTCGCAGTAACAATTAATTGACTTCATTCATCAGTTCTTTAACAACTACTATCATTTTCAGATGTTATTCTTAATAATTTATTCATTGCTCTATCAGGCAGTCTTGTTCTCGCTTCATTTCTTCACGCGAATTCTGTATGTTTGCAAATTCAAAGATTTTCGCTTCAAAGATAAACATTTCGATAGCATTTGTTTTTTTTGCCTTATTATATTGTCAAGCAGTCGATCGGAGTTCATTTAAATTTCGACTTCAATCAAAAATCTTCATATGTGCAATTGGAAATTTCAGGAATTACGTTTTGCCTTTTCAAAGATTTATAAACTCTTGTTGAATGAAAGCAAAACTTCAGACGTAATAAGTTTCAATTGTAATAAAAATACAGTTCTCCTCAAATGGTTTCACAAAACTGTTATCCGTTGTTAAATATGGATTCTACATGTTCATTGGGTATTAGATTCAGCGAGTTAAAACGTTCATGCTGAAACATGCGTTTGCGATTTCAAGAATAGTAGTTAACGATTTGAAAGTTCATCTTTTATGCTACATATTTGTAGGGTTTTCTCTTTTCACCTCCTCGAAACTAATTTAGAGTTAATTATGAAAGCAGAAAATATTTATTTGATGATATGAAATATTTGCCTCTCATAAAATTAACGTTGCATGTTTACCTTTCCCTAAAAACTTCCAAATTGTCGCCTATTCAATTCACTCGGCAATCTTATTGTTGCAATTTTGTGTATTTTGACGGGGTGTTCATGGATTTTATAGTATTTCTTTAGAAGCTGAATAAACGTAACGCTTGTGTTCATCGGTTTGCATTTCATTGCAACATATTCAGTGCACTTTACAAATGAACATCTCGTTATGGATTGCATTCGTTCTTGTCGGTTCTGATGCAGAATTTCTTTATGCATAGACATGAAAGCAGCATCTCTATCTGTTTTTTGTACGATAAATGATTGTAAAGTGGTGATAAACACAAAGGCATCGTAAAAAGGCAACAAATGATATGTAAAAAAATTAGCATAGTACGTTACTGTTACCATTACAACAAAATATGATGGATGTCTCAACATTTGATTATTATGAATGAATGTATGCAGATCAATAGATTGATTTCAATAAATATGTAAACAATATGAGTAGATGGAATGACGATATGAACACGATATAGCAGTAATGCACATATAAACATTACAAATAAATATATGATTCTACAAACGGACGCATTGCGTTTCATTAATTTATGAAATAATTCTTACACTTCACTTATCAAATGGTCTGTTCTCATTACATTGCATTTGGAGTGAATCAATGAGAGAAGTGTGTTAGATAATTGTGTTGATCGAGAACGAATTCATACACAAAATGATTGGTGCAGCACATGATTAACGCTTCAGATCAGCTATTTTTTCTGATGTAGTTCATCGTTCGCGATATTTTCGAATAGTAGATTTTGACGGTTTTATTCGAGAGGATTGAATCATTTTTGGTCTACCTATATATGTTCTAAGCCTGATGAAAGAAAGGTAGCATGAAATATATAAGTAAATGTATCCATGAAGAATTCTAATTAATTCAGATTTTCCGACTGGAAAGAACTGAAGGTGGCAGGCTATGATGTAATTTAGCAAAGACATTGTCCTTAATTGTTGCATGATAAGTTAGTTGCGTGATAAGGCAGCCATCTGATTCTTTTAGCAGAATGAAGTTTATGGTAAGTGATGAAACTATGACAGTGAAAATCTGAAACAAGTCATAACTTGCTACTTTGGTGAGCAGTCATTGGAAATGGTAATGGACAATCACCGATTTGCTGCTTTCGATTCTGCAATTGCACTATTAATCAGTACGGTGAAAAGTGAACCGATAAATTCTGGGTGGGACCGACAGACGGAAATGCAGAGGTTTGCTAGCAAAGGACTGAACGTGTGAGGTCATTTGAATGTCGTTTCCCTACCTGTTTGTACCCCTCAGTGCGGATGGATGGCCTTGCGCTCGACATCATTTCTTGCCCACATACGACGACGCCTATCTTTCATCCGCTCTTCATACCATTGCTCGACTGATGACCCATCGCGTTTACAACCTGATCACAGACAGATGCTACAGCATTTAGCATACGCTAAACTCATTCACAAATCGCAACTTTCTACTTATGATCATAATCATGCTTAAAGCGAATTCATTTTTGCTATCAGAAGAACAATTGTGAGGGTAATTGAAATATTGCAGTGCACCGGTATTACAATAATAACGTCACATCCATATCCCACATCTAAAATCACCCTCAACTTTTTCTCGTCCCTTGATGATTTTCTTATAATATTACCATATCGCTTGATCGAACCATTCATATTCGTCGTTCCTGTGAACATTATTGACAGCTGTTGTTCATAATGAAATGTCACTCAATGAAGCAAAGAAGCGTTCTAGCGCTGAAACCAGACCAAACAAAGGGTTTCTTGTGCATCTTTTATAAACTCATGCTTCATGCTATCAATGATCGAATATTGTTCCATTCTTAAAAAACACACCTAACAAAACATTGCTGGCTTGATTTATAACCTATGTGTAAGCTTTAGATGTTCGGCTGACATGTATATAAGTTTGTTGGTTGCAATATCACGATGAGGCAGTGAAACAGTGAAATAGATTAACTCGTATGAAATACCTAATAGAGGGTAAGTGGGTAGTTGTAAAACGAACACAAAACCATTCTAGTGAGGTGCTATCAGATTATTTAATACTGCACTATCTAAAAAAGGTTGACTACTGATGCAGAACAACGTTGAATACACTCGGTGGATCTGGTTGCTTTATAATGCGAATAATATTCGATGATGTTCGTTTATCAGCTGATCATTTCGTTGTCTTTAATGTCGACCCATCTACTTGCAGAAATGAGGATCAAATCAAAATAACACGTGCAAACTGAGGCTCACCCAGCCGTAATGCATTCTTGGTGACTGATTCGATGTGTTGTGTGAATGTGAAGTGACTGATATGAAACATGTGTTATCATCATTCACCTATTCATCATACAATCATTTCATAATGCGAATATATTGATAATAACAAGAATGGTAACGACAGTAATACGGGAATGTTATAAACAAAAACATGACGATTATTGCATCTGATAAAACGAAGCGCACGGAGTTGTGGTCGCATTAATAGTAGTCGTGTTAGCAAAACTGGTAGCACTAGTAATAGCTGATCTAGTAGAAAAAGTTGGAGGAACAACAAGAACAAGTTAAAGAACTGAAAAACATACGTAATTATCATAAAGTATCAACCACGCGTATGCATACAGAAGGAGTACAGAGGAAAGCGAAATGAACAAACAAACAAGCGAAACTGAAAAGAGAATAAAACGAACAATTACATGGAAAGTACGCTTATGCTCACAACAATCAAGCCTTCCTCTTCTTTTATTAGCCATTTGATTTCCGAGAATCAGCCAGAATACAATATTGAATTAGGATCAACGGTACCCTTTTTAAAGCGATTCTTTTCACGAAGTAGCGGATCGTTCCTAACTGATTCGTTTTTCTTTAATCCATCCTATTCATGTATTATACAAGGATTTATTTAGCATGGTCATTTAGGGGAAACAGGGAGCTTGTACACTTCGGCTGCTGTACAGTTGTGCTGCTATGAACAATAGAGAGCTACAATGAGAATAGCTGCTAGCACCACATCGAGAGAATGCAACTTTTCAGTTATTCATTTTCAAATAGGTGCAACACAAAATCGATATACAATCACTCCTTTCAATTCATCAAAAAACATTTTTGTTACGGGTATTTCAATTTCGGAAGGTTGCTTGCAATAAAAGCTATAAAATAAAGAACACAGCATTTCAGTGAAATGAATTTCAAGAATTAAAAGCAAATAAATACCTAAGTGCTCATAATGGTCCCTTGTGGAGCAGCAGTTAGCAACATGAGTCAAACACATTTGAATAAATAAATATGTATATATGTAGTATTTATGTATGAATGTATGTATAATCAATAATATCAGCATTAACACTGAAATCAGCATTAACACCGAAACACACTTCAGAATGAGAGCAATTTGGTGATCAAAAGAGAAAACAAGTGAAAAAGGGAAATGTAACAAACGGAAAGAGAATGCGAACAAAATATGTATATGGCCATTATACAATGAATATAAAATGTGGCCATTACTATAAAATGCGTTGTGTGCATATCACAGAGGCTAAACATTAATAACAGAGACAACAGCATCAAAAACCCATTCGCTGAGTTTCTAACGAGGGTCAAACAACGCGTACTACTCATTTTTAATGCATTCATTCCTATTAGCAACACTTCGTACTTTTTCACGCAAGAAACGCTCATATGTTCAACAGATGCAAACTTATCACAATCTAGTGTTCTGTGAGGAATGACTCTTCTTGAAATGCTGAAAAGTTTAGCACCGCTTCTGTACATCGTCATTTTAGACGCTATTGTCTGAATGAGTAGTGAAATGACCGATCGATGATCAAAAAAACAATGCGAGTTGTTATGACCCTTTCAAACAGAAAAACGCAAAGTTAGCATTACAAATGATTCGCACCATAGAACGGTGCTGTTATATAAATAAGAATATGAGGAATGCACAATATTTGGTCTATTTAGTGTGTAGAGATGAAAACAACAATATAATAACAACAACACTCATGGAGGAGAATACCCCGAGGCAAGAAAGCAGCTAAATGATGGACTCGGCTAACAATTCATATGCGTTGCTTAACCGCACCACACTCTTTCGGTTCCATTACATGCGACAAGCTGCAGAAGCACAGAATATGATAGGATGCTTATCTCATCTCCCTTAGTACGTAGTTTCTTGTTTCCACTTAGGAAAGGTGATAAAGTGACGCGCGTCGCATGCAACAGAGTGCCGGAAGTGCTTAACAAAACTATCAACATGGAATATATCAAAATGATGAGCTAACAAAGAGTGAAAATGATAATTGAAAAGATGGAACTCAAGTGCAATGGAACTGATGTGAGTTAAATGCGAAAAAATGAGATGCACACAGAGACATACCAGCTGTCATCTGTAAGTTTGAAGTGTTCGAGTGGACAGATGGATGATGGGTCAATGTTTGAAGGTGAAGCATCGTCTCATTTCAATGTGCTTCCTTCAACATGCACTGTTCAACCAATTCATGTCATCCTTTCATTTTTGCTCGCATTTAATACACTGAAAAACTGATTAGTCTTTTCAATCCACTTTGGGCAACTCAAATTAATCTTACAAATGAAATAAACGAACTGAAATGAGATTCCTTCTCAAAACAACAACTTAAGTGAGAGGTGGCACAGTTTATCTCAAGTGAATCTTTAATATTCTATTAGGTGACTTCTTGGGTGGTCCCACTAGCGCAATGACGTTGCATCGCAAGTGCATCACAATCATCGAGAGTAACAAAAACAATTTTATAATCACACGAAATTGGTCAGGTAAGACCTACAGGAATGTTTCCGACTAAAAATACCTAAATATAAACATGTGATTTGACCAGTGGTGCCTAAATTTGAGACAATTGACTCAAACCCGTCTCCTGCTCTAGAAATCTGAATTCGACTCCTGCTCCATATTTTAAAAAAAATTATCTCTGAAATTCTAAAATTTTATCTTCAACTCCGCATTTTTAAAGCTTGACGCAAACTTCTTGTCGTTCAGTTTTTCAGCTCCGTCTCCAGCTCCGCATTTTGAAATTACCGCTCCGCATCAACTTTTCTAAGTTTTAGCTACAACTCCGCATTCATAAAAATTTCGTCTGTGGCTCAGGCTGTAGCCATGCATTTTTGGAAGTTCGATTACGGTTCCATATTTTCAGAATTTCGACTCCGGCTCTAGCTTCGTATTTTTAAACTTTCAGTTTTGCTTCCAGCCACGAACCTAAATTTTCCGTTTCGGCTCCAACTCCCTGTTCATGAAAATTTCATCCTTTATTCTGTCTCTAGCAACGCATTTTCAAAACTCCGGCTAAGTTTCCAGCTCAGCGTTTTTTCTTTGAATTTCGGCACCAACTCCGCAGTTTTTAAATTGAATGATTTAAAACGTTTCATTCGTTCTAATTACTCACCGTCAACCATTAACGTCGCCCATTTTATTTTTAGCGTATTCAATGCGCATTCCACCGCGCTCTGAACTGGATATTTGAAAACCTTGCAGACTTGTCATCGCTTGTGTTGCTTGTCGAATATCTGAATATTCAACAAAGGCAACCGATGAACCACCCTTTGTATGCATCCGCAGTCGACAAAATCCTGGGAATGATCGGAATATCTGAAAGACGGATATTACTGATTATGAAACGAATGGAAGCTGCTGAAAAAAAGTTGTTGAATCGAACAGCTCATATTCTGACTGGCACTAAACATGCACTAACAGCAGAGATCAGCATGGAACCTCACCCTTTACTTATTGCTATGTTAAATGTGTACGCGTGCTCTGATATGTAAACATAGGTACATATATTCAAGCAGCAATTCCAGTTAGTTATTCGAAGAATCGAACATTACATTTGTATAGTTCGTATCGATGAGTCAAATAAACATAATTTGCGCAAAATCATACAACAATGCCACATCTTATTCACTAATGTTGTTAGCTGACATATGTTTGCTTTCTTCATGAGTTGAATCACTTTTCAACTCATTCTCACATTCTTTTTCGGTGTTTATTTTAGTTGCATAACGATGGTGTAGAGCAAAAATGAAGGAGGAAGAACTTTGAGATTGGAATTAGCACGTATGTAATAATGAGCAATCGAAAGGCATTTGCTTAATGAATGAACTGCTTGTGAGATAAGTCGGTCTACTTAAAAAAGCCAGCTACTGAATCGATTCCATAAGGTATCACGTGCTCAAGGGCACCATTTGTCGCGACGCAGCGCGAAAGTGAGGAACACTAAAGTGATATGTGAAATCAACCTTTGAATCTGTACGTTAGCTGTATATGTATAAGATGTAAACGGATATCATGCATTATCGATTCGGATAATGAAATTTAACTTTCGTATATCTCACTTGAGAATCTCCTCCCTTTTGAGTGATATGAATACTTTGTTTCGATAATATAAGACAGTGATGTTACAAAATAAAAGCCGAAACCATTAATTCATCAAATGGTTGCATCCAAATCGATTAATTGCTCATTTCTGCTCTTTCAGTGTCATTTAATCTGATGTTACTCGGTAACTACAACTGCTACTCAATGCAAAAAACAAAAAGTTCATTGAAGTGTTCATGAATAATATCACTAAACTCATTGCGGATGATTGAATGTAGCATGCAGCACATTCAGTGTACATGCGAGCGCACTTTTAGAGTGCAATCAATTTGCTGATGAAGGTCAGTAAAATAATGCATTGCGAATTAACGGATGAACAAATAACACGACTTGGTTCTGGCATACGAAGCAAAACCGATGGATGTGGAACTTTTTACGACGCCTGATTAAGTCATTAAACAGACTGAATATTTATACAATTTTATGGGTTCGCAATAATCTTTTTATGATTAGCGTTTGATTTTTGTTATAACTACTATTATTATGATTACTACTACCATTATTGCTAGTACTTGCATTCTTGGCGTGTAATTACTTTACTACTATCATTTCTTTAAAATCATAAATTGTTTAAAGATTTATTGTTGGTTGCGAATATGATGGTATGCGATTTTTGTATCGAACTTGTTCATTAATATTCCTTCTGTGTTCAAACTAAGAATATTATCATCACAACGAGTTTTAGATTGAATGTAAAATGCATTCGTTTTTCTTTGAAAGTTTTGTAAAATTAAAAATTATTGATGAACAAATTTAATTGATCACTCAGCAATCTATTTCATCTATGGAACATTCATGTATAATCGTTCTTAAAACATTGACGGTATTGAATCATCGCATACACTAGTGATGAATAGTGTATTCGATAAAGTAAGGACATCAAATGCTTCTCGAAATGGTGTAAGGCACGAAGTGAGGTATGTTTTTGCTTTAAGGCACACACAACCACACAAGAACACCAGCTTGTAAGCAACACACCAGCAAATAAGACAGACCACGGAGAACATAACGATTTTGTGGAATTTTCATTAATTTCTAAGAAGTATGATTAGTGCTGTGAAATGTAGATAATAATAATAACATCAATATTAATACTAATAGTACTAATATTAATGATATTAATACTATTAGCACTAATAATAATAAGAATGGCTAGCAGGGATCACAGATGAATATCATTGAGCACATAAACAATTGAAGGCATTGCAAACAAGCTAGTTGTGAAAAAAAAACGAATGTAAAATTTTTATTAGACTAATCTGAAGGGACATAGCAGCTGGCAAAAAGAAATAAAAGAGATAAGATCGGATCATCACATAAAATAATGAAGAGAATTCAACCAACCTGCTTTAACTCATCTTCATTAACCGACTGTCCCAAATTAGCAACAAATAACGTAGAACATGCAGCCTGTGATGCAATTGCAACCTGAGATGCAGCAGAAAGATGTGCAGCAGAAAGTTGTGAAGCAGCAGTTAGCTGTGCTAAAGTTGCTGCATTTGGCTGGAACATGGTTGAGACATTGGATGCAACTGATGGAATTTGTAGTGTAGTTGTAGTTGGAAATAACAGCGGTGTTTGCGTGAACTGTGGGAGAGTGGATAGAGCGAGAAGCTGATGATCGGTGAGGAACTGTGTGGCCATATGTGGATCAAGACATGCGGCGGTAAGATCATGTGTATGAGAGGTAGGTAATGGTGTTACAAATTGATGTGGTGCATTTACAGTCGTTTGCAACATGGCTGCTGCTGCTTGTGGTAGGCTCGACGGAGCATTTGCTATTACTGGTGGTGAGATTTGTTTCGGTTTTGATACTTTTGTATTACTTCGAGCCAGTTCTAAACGTATTGTCTGCGCATTGTCTGGATCAAATCTTACACCTTGCAATGCTTTTCTTGCCTCATCTGCTTCAGCTTTCGTTGAAAATGTCACAAAACCGACTGGAGAGGCGGTTTTGCCGTTTTTTGAAGTGATTTTCAGCAAAGAACTTTCATAGCCGGAATAAGCTCGGAACAACAAATATAATTCTCTGGGTTTTGCATCCATCGGAAGACCAGAAACGAACAGAGTACGCACTTGTGCGGGTGGAACAGCTGAGGTTGTACTCATATTGTCAACTGATTCCATCGATTGCGCCGCAGTCAAGTTGCCGTTCTCCATCACCGGAGACGGACTTTGTGATCGTGTTCGCTTCAGCCTAATATTTGTAACGAACTTGAACGAATCGATCAAAAATTATTTGCTCCTCACTGACTGGACACAATACTGAAATGAATATCATCATTACTTATTTGCAGTATCGCCGTTCTGATTAAACAAAAAACTGCTGACAATGGATACAATCTCCAATTTGCAATAACATGGTGCAACTACCAAATATGGCATGGCATATGTTGCTCAAACGCATCCACTTCACTACGAACACTTTCGATTGAAAACGTTACAAGAACGAATCGATAAACATTATATATTAATCAAATTTTCAATTTATATACACTACTAAATAATATATGCTTTTGCATTCAACATTTCACAACACATATACATACCTATCAACACCACTATATATCATCGTCATTACAAAAGCGCTAATAATGTTCGTTTTTATCGACTACTAAATTGTGTAACAGCGAAAAACAATCAACACATTTGTGTTTGCTTCGATCTTTATTGCAGACAGAGAATCTATTCCCTTTTTATATCACACCTCCAAGTTCACTTCTTCTTCAGCATAAGCATGAATTTGGTACCTCTCAACTTCTTGGAATATTCCATCTCTTTTCTAGGAATGATTTACACAGTCGAATATCTATCATTTTTTTGCAGTCCTCAGCGACTTCGACTACCTACATTCTCAAATATTTTTTAAATTTGGCCCTATTAACAACTAATATGCAGTGGAGGAAATGAATAACCACAAAACAGATTCGAAATAATACATTTTAGGAAAATTTGATAATTTGACAACCTATCGATCAGTTAGAATACAACTGAAAATGATCAATGGAGCTATGCTCGTGAATAATTATTCTGCACTGATTGTGACAGCAAAAATAATAACAACTAGGTATTATTGATGAAATCATAACGACCGTAATAATATCTATAATGATAATAATAGTATGCAAATGTTTCGATGATAACGATAATAGTTTCGAACGACTGATCGGAAGACACATGCAAGAATAAGCGATAGCATCCTCTCCTATCACCTCACCTTCTAATCGCCATCCTCTGCACTTATTAGTTATTGAAAGCATCGTTGCTATATGATTAACGCGTTACCATGGTTATCATTATCAGAAACATCTTTAATCACAAAATCCCATCCTTTATAATCTTCGAAGAACTCGTAACTAATTTTTATCAACGTTCGCCATCAGCACATTTTCGCTGAATTCTAGTTTTCTTTATTACACTTTTATCAATGTACTAACGAGTTTGATAATGAAACATTGTTCAATTAAATATAGTTTTGAAGGTGATATATCATATCTTAATGGTGATGTCTGTTTTCGATTGTTAATACGTAATCATGTATTCGTTTGATGATGATGATCTGCTGTTTCTCCTCTGCAATCGTCTGTTTTCTAAAACTATCATCGAAGGTCACCAATAATTCAAAAATATGATCGCTTAAATTGGTACCTATTCCATATGGTCTTCACTAATTTAGATACTCGGCCCCAATAAGTGGGCATCTAGCTCGATGATATACTTTTAGCAAAAATCACTGCAGGTACAATGCAGTAGAATGGTGAAATACAGTAGCAAGTATAGCAAAGTGCCATTTGAAAAATCATCAAATTGCAAATAAACAAACAGGCTAGAAAATCGTGTACAGAACGGGTCTGACGGTCTGCGACAGGTACACTATGCAAAATGAATCCACTCGTTGGACGTGAAGCATCAAGCGTCAATCGCTTGAGGCTAAAGTGATTCAAATAAAAAAATTCTAAACTTCAAAATTCATTCACGAAGGAAACTTGAAAATTTCCCTCATACATTCGAATTATTTCCTTACTGTCTAAATGAAAATGGATGAAAAATGTTTACTATCAGGTCGTGAACGTGCTATATTCAGGTCGATATGTCAACACCAATGTTCAGGCCGTTAGAACGTAAGTCCGACACAGGAAATGATTAAGAGTTCAGATTTACAAAAAAAGGCGTTTGAGTAGAATTCATTTCCTGATAACAAACAATATCACTACTTTTCAACCACCAAGCTGGTTGAGCTTCTCTTAATGGAATCGAATAGAACGTAAGTAGGTTTTGTTAAAACGTTTTCGTTTTGTTTCCTCCATAGTAATATATTTAAAGATACCAAAACATTGTGAAAAGACTTTCATATTGCGAAAACGCTCAATTTCCAAATCTTACAATGCCGGTAACAGAAGTAAACTCTGAACGGGTTAAAACACTAATCAAACTTATGCATTCGGAAACAATTTGCAAGCAAACAAGTGGTAAGGAATTTGGACACAATCTACTATATACTCAGTGACCAATGTGCCAGCTTTTCTTACTCATAAAAATTTTCAAACACCAAATCGAATAATTTCATGCGAGCTTGTGATAATCGGCATTATTGGTCCAGAACTAATATCGATGGAAACCTTAATAAGAAGGACATTTTAAATTTTAAAATGTTTAAATTCAAAAAACAAGAATGACAATAGACCAAATCGCATCATAACAATACGTATATTAGAATCATTATGATGTTAGAAAAAGATAACACGTGACATCAAAATTTAGATGAATAATAAGAGAATGCGATAATCAAAAACAACAAATGATCGATCACGTTTACGATCAGATCCTATCGGAAACGAGATGATGATCAAGGAAAGATCATGAAAAAATAAATACGAAGATCGCATCAACGCAAATATACTATACACTTCTTTTGCGTGATCATAAAACGACAAAGATAACTGATTGTGGCTCAATCAATAATTTTTATCCACAGCGACGTTCCGTTTGATCGATGACAATTTCATCTACGATGATGCCGCCTCTTATAAGACGATTGCGTCGTGCTGCCATCTTAGCGAATTAAATCAACCGAACAAACAATCGATCATTTATCACGTGAAGCTTAGTAGGAAATTGATAAAATGATAAACAAACAACAATAAGTAAATATTAAAAGGATTACATTACTAATGAGTAGCTTGCAAACCAAACGACCAAAAAAATCCGGAAAGAAAATACTACACCACGAGTAAGTAGATAATAAATGCGTTCAAGCCGGTTTTTTTTTCTAAATTTTCATTTCGCTTCGTTTACCACATAAAAAAATATATGCATATTACAAACCGATAATTGATTTCACTAAAAACAAATGGAAACGCATAATCAAAGAATTTACTACCACCACTGAAATTACAATTTTGTAAATGATTTAAACAGACCACTCATTTGCACATTTGTTTATTGCGATGAAGTGATGTAAGGCAATGAGATTAAATCAAACATTGCCGTACATTTTCAACATTCCTTTCACAATTTGCTCATAACATAATGAGTTCAAAATACAACGACTAACAATGTGACAACAATATCTAAATACATTCGCTTTACCTCACACACTTTATTACTACTGTTACAACCAGAATGCTACAACCACTACTCGGTAAATATCATCATTGATGTTTACTATTATTATCACTTCACACTCGGTGAGTAACATGCTTCATATCATGAAAATAATTTTCTTATCATCTCATTCCGTTATTGTTATGTTGCAAAATGACGAATAAAACGTGAGAATTATGAGAGCAAGACAATTACAGCAAAAAATATTATGTAAGCAGATGTTAATTTGATTGCGTTGTTGAAATTGTAAAAAAAAACCACACTAGTGCAATCGCAAAACACAACTGAATACACATGGTGATGTGAATGTGCGGTGAACTTCTGAACGTAATCAATTTATTCAACTCGCAGAAATTGTCCACATAAAAACACATCAATAAGATGAAAAGTTTTTAGTGGAAAAGTTCGACGGTGGAAAAAAACGGAAACGCTTTGAAAACATTCGTGGGAATAGTTTAACGTATATTTAGATGAAATATTTGAAATTCATGATTACCTTGAGAGAATTGAATGATTCACAAATACGAACAGTTTACGGCATATTTCAGAAATAAAACAGACGACAGTTTATGAGAATGATCACATTATTCCGTTAAAATTTTTAAAATCATATCCTTAGATGACGCTTAGCAGAATCGAAACAATACCATAGGCAATAAATTCTGCTTCTTCAAACCATTCCCACAACAAACACCTTTTCCTCTTGCATGACAACTACTGTTATAACACTGACTGGTTACACATCCTCCTCCAAAATCTTATCTAAATACGAATATACTAATCCTAAAATAATTGATTTCTGACCATCGACTTTTGCCCTCTAGATGAACTCGATTCAGCAATCTCACACAAACAACCATTTTTTGTTGTTTGAATGACCGAAAAATGATTTTTGTAAAATTTTCTTCAACAATAGTAAGCAATAGGTAGGAATGGAAAGGTTAGCAAAACCAGTATATCAATGCGAGGCAGATTAAGATCGTATGAATGAATATACAAATTTTAT